TAAAGTGATACAAATGTGCACCACTTGGAGCTGATGCATGGTGTGTGCCTGGGGCTGCTTCCAGCTGAACAGTGGTGGTTCACGTGGGGATGATTTAACACCCCAGCAGCCCTCTGCCAGCTATGTTACAGCTGAAACCAGGACACCCTACTACCCAGATTCTGCTGCATGTTAATCACTGGAGCAGATGCACGCCACTTTTTCAACCACTCACAGCTTGGCTTATTAACTTAAACAAAGATTTCCATTTAAACTATCACATTGGCCCCAGCATCTATTTGTCTCTCACAGATTCTGCAGGGCTGGAGAGCTCTGGGGCAAGGAGCACAATAGGCACGTACCTGGAGCAAGGGGAGAGAAACCAACTTAAGCCATCACAGCAATTTTTTATCTTAGTATGTCAGCTCCTTTTTCAGTCACCAGAAACTCATTCACATCAATGAAATTCAACACAAAATTAGGGAAAACCCAAGGAAAAGCACACCACACAAGGTACCTTAATGGGTCTGCCTCTGTCAAGCAGAGCCCAGTGGTGGCAGGACTTTCGTGTCCTACCTCAACTCTTCCCACATGGGCAGCTCATTTAAACCCTGGGATCATCTCCAAAGCAAGCAAAGTTTGTGGAGAGCTCAAGGGAGGGGGATCCCCACTGGGAAATGTCCAGTGGTGCAGATCTGTGGTTCAGCCCCTCATTGAGGCCTCTCATTTCCTAAGTTCTGTTCTCCTTTCAGAACAAGTCACATTAGCAGATAAGGTCTTCTCCTCCACAACCTTGTGCAGCTTTCCTCAGACAGGGGCACATCAAGCAGTGTACATGACAAAGTGCAGAAGACTCATTAGGGAACCATGCACTGGGGAGGTAGGGGCTTACCTGTAGTCATTAAGTGTTTCTCTGTTCCCCCTGACCCTGCTGTGTGCCCAAGCAGTGCATGCACCCAACACCAACAGCTTTGCACTTACTAGATTTTGCCCCTCTCCTCGCAGGGATCCTTGCCCTGCTCTGGGCTGCTGAAGCAGAGAAGCATCTGGTCCTTGTCGCAGAGGAAAAACTGCTATGTGGGCCCTGGCAGCACCCCAGTCTTGCTTGCTGCCCACAAACCCACAGCCTGGGAGCCAGCATGCCGGGGCCGGTTACACAATAAATGTTGTCCTGTGATCACTTTTATGTTCCTGTCCACTATGACTGCAGCATATGCTCACAATGTGGGCCTTTATACAGAGGTATATCCCCTATATGTCCTCTGAAAGAAAGCAGTTAAGCTAGCTATAGCATGCTTTTTTACTTGTATAACTACAGAAGAGAGTTTGGGATACAGGGGTATTACTAATAAATCACCATATGATCAATATGTCAGTACTTCAGTGCTTGAATCCAACCAGCTATGGGGAATTTGTCCCTTGGTAGCAATCAATCTGCTGTACTTAAAGTTTCCTCACCAGATCTGCAGCTAGCACAAACTGATCAATGCTGTTCCAAGTCAGCGGAGCGTAACAGCTCTGCATGTCCCAGTGTTCACCCTTACAGGTCTCTTTCTCCTTGGCAAGGACAAAGAGGTTAAATTATCCTTTGCTAAGCACACAGGATATCTCAGACTAACTCCCGCCCAGTTCTTTGTGCATACCAGCCTTTCTTACCACCAGCCCAGCCAACACCCCAGCACCCTTCCAGGTGGAGTCTACTTTGGTCCTCCACAGGCAGCAACTCCACTGCAGTAGCCTGTGACACTTCTCAAAAGCAGATGCAGCAGAATGAATTCTGTGAGACATCCAAGTTTCGCCATGCATCATGCAGAGGGCTCTCCCCCTGAGGGGTAGTTTGCCAAGCAGTACCAGGGGAGATATGCAGTCTTGTGAGATGCTGGGCTGCTGTTTCAGAGGATTAAGTAACATTGCACTGGAGAAAAAAGGAAGGACCTGGAGAAGATCTCAACAATCCGGCTTTGGCTAATAAGATGGCAATCCTGCTGCTGAGGGAGGGGCCAGGGCTACATCTTAGTGCAACAGTCCCCACTTGCCGCTCTATCCCATGTCACCAATGGCTAGGATTTCTGTGAGGAATTTTTCCTTTCCCATGAGGTGCCTGCTGATGCAGCCTCCTACCAGAAGTGACTTGGGATGCAGCTCACAGAAGTCCAGATTTCCTAAAGAATGTACCATTCCCACATCAGCCCCAGAGGTCATCTCTGTGACTCAAAGCAGAGAACTCAGATACTACTGACTGCTGGAGTGGGGCAGAGGGCCCAAGATGGTGCAGGAGAGAGTCCAAGACCTGTGAGTGGTGATGCGCATACCAGCATTTACAGCAGGATCCCAGGATTACCTCAAACAGGCTTGTGCCCAAAACCTGGTACTGAGTAGAGTTTGGGGCTGCCAGATAAACAACTCTGGTGACCAGCACCAACCTACAAGCTCTGTTGAGAGCTCTCAGCTGTTAATGAGCTTTCTGAGACTACCTGTCAGCGTGTAAACTCAGAGGATGTTGCCTGTGGGTACAAATTCTCTGAGGTGAAGTTCCCTGTGCCACAGGGACATGGAGCAGCCAAAGCCTGGGACTGTGAAGGGGATACCCTGTGCTGTGATGTGCTTGCATGGCTGGCTGGACAATGCCACCACCTTTGATAGGCTCATTCCACTGATCCCCAGAAGTGGGTCTGGCTCAGGAGGATGGGCTGTGAGTCATGTGTCGGGTCTGCACATTGACTCTCTCTCCTTTTCAGATTGCAGTTAAGTGGCAATGGATTTTCCAGGCCATTGCCTGTTGTCTCACCAACGACAGAGGTTTCCTCAAAGGGTCCACATCCCCCCTGCTCCTGACATAGGGTCCTCTTCCTCAAGAGCTATGTCACAGACAGAAGAATCACAAGCCTAGCAGCCACTGCTAACAATTACACTGCTTTCTGGTGACTTGTGAAAAAATCCCAGCAATTCACAGGAAGGCCCTGGCCTACATTAGCAGCAGTGATTGATTATTGAGTGCATTTTACAAATCTGTTCTGCCAAGCTGTCCCTTGCTTTTCACCTTTTGTAATCAGACACACATCTCTGACAGCTCTAGGAAAGATGCTTAGGCAGCACTGAGGCCTCTCTCCCTCTGCATGCCTTCCCACCACTTACGGTCTGCTTTCCTGTTCCTCCTCCAAGGAGGCTAAGAAAAAGCAATCCACTGGATTTTCCAAGCCTATAAGATTCTGATTTCCGTCTAATGGCTCACTTGTAGGGTAGGCTGAGCTCCAGAGCTCTCATTGATTCTCGGTGATGGGTCCTCAAGGTTACCTTTCAACTTCTGGGGTGCAGAGCTATTTTGCCAGGGTAAGATTGAGGCAGGCAGGAGAGGCAGGGCTGTAAGCTTCTACACTGGTTTCTTTCAAGCTTTGCAAGCTGTTCTGAAAATGTATGGTGTAATTTAGAAGACTGATGTGCTGAACTGAGCAGAGAGTTTTCAATTACCAATATAAAAATGACTCCCTAAGAACAGACATTCATTTTGTCTCTCCAACTGCTCCAGCAAGATATCCCACTACTCACAGCATGGTTTGACTTTGCTTCATTTGACAGCAGAGTCCTTGACTGAAGGGGAACAGTTGTGGTCTGTGTTAGGCCTTGCTGACTGACTGCTGGAGGGACTGCATGGCACCAGCAAGCAGTATTCCCAGCCATACTCAGGTATTGACTTTCTTGAACCCTGGTCTAATGAAGAAAATTGTGGAAACCTCCTCAGCTGAGAGGGGTCTGTTTGTGAAGAAGAGGAATACAGCAGCTAAGGAAGGCAGTGCTGTCTGCTGTGTATCTGCCGCAGCTTGGCCCCGCAGTAGTCAGTTCACTGTGATGGGTCACAGCACGGGAGAGTGACTCTTATCCCTGGAGCAACACGATTCCAGCAGGCATTAAGAGTTCAGAAGAGTTTCTCTATCAGAGAGCAATGGAAGTTCAGCACAGGTGTCAAGCACTGAGCCTGTTTGATGTTGCTACAATGCTCCTGGGTCACAGTTAAAACATCTCACACTGCGTTGCTGCAGTACAGGCAGTTTCCATAGTCAGTAACACATCTGCTGGAGGTAGCCAAGGATGCAGCCATACTGCCATGACTGCGACTTCTCATAGGTCCCTGTCGTGCTCAGTAAGTAGGTTGATGGCAACTGCAGACCCCACAGGCATCATTAACTCCTTGTTGTGCTTACTAAGCCTCAACCAAACACAGGGCTTTGGCTACCTCTCACAGCATCTCCCTGCCCTGGGCACCCAAGAGGAGAGCTGGCAGCAGCTGGGTCAGGCCAGAGGCTCCAGGACCAGCTGGAGACTGCCCTGCGTTCACCTGTTCAGTCAGGTAAGAGGTTTCTGGGCCTGGAGGAGGGGGCAGGCTGGGTTGCTGTGACTGGAGCAATAGCTGGGTCAGGAGGAAAACAGCGAGTGATGCTGTGGAGGGTTGAGGGTGTGCCAGGATGTCCCCATGCTGCAGGGCCAAGGGTGGCGAGCGGTGGGGAACCGGGAACCGCTCCCCGCGCAGGGGAGACCGCGCTGTTAGGCCCTCACCCACTGCCCCGTTTCCTCGCAAGACCCCCGGAGCCAGGAGGCTGACGGGGGACAAAGATATCCGCACTCCCACCCGCCTGCCTCCCTCCCTCGGCCCGCGGCGGCCCCGGGCCGGCAGAGCGGCAGGAGGCGGAGGCCTGGGGCGGCCCGGGGAGGCGGGGAGCAGGGCGGTGCAGCCGGGCTGCCCGCCCTGCCGCCGGGCTGTCTCCTCCAGCCACGGCCTTGCTCTGCCGTCCCTGCCGGACAGAGCGGTAGGAGGGGGCCGGGGAGCAGCGTGCGGGTGCGGGGAGCGGGGCCGGGGCGGCCGCCAGCAGCCGCAGCGCTCCGGGGGCTGCTCCGCCCCGAGGCCGGGGCCAGGACCAGGACCAGGACCAGGATCAGGACCAGCTGCCCCAGGGCGCCCTGAGGCGAAGGAGCGGGTGTAGCGGCTCTTCCTGCCCGCCGGAGGGACCCTAGGGCCGCAGCCCCGCTGGGGTCAGGCAGGGCGGGCCTGGGGAGGGCAGTCGGGCTCTGGCAGGAGCCCAGGTTCTCAGGCACGTCTGTGAGGAAGGGGCAGGTCCATGGTCACACCAGGAAGTCAGCCCATGGTTGTCAGGATCAGGCCGGCCAAGGGTGAGACAGCCCCGTGATCGGCAGGCGGGGCCGTGGTCCTGGGAGCTGCACCTTTGCCCCTGGAGACCAGTGCTACTGGGCTGCTCCTGGGCTGAGCTTGAACAGGCTCATGGGCACGAGGGAAGGATGTGGGGGAGTCCCCATGTGTAGCTGACTGAGGCCGTTGGGGACTGTAAGTGGTCTCAGAGTCCTGACAGCAGCTTTATCTCTCAGCCCATCCCCTTTGTCTTCACTGTACAGAGATACGGGCTCAGGAGGGCCTTGCAGTAGAGTGATTTAATTGCTGTCAGGTCTCAGAGGCTATTTAAGGGAATAGAGACCCGAGACAAGTCACTGGGAAGGCAGTATGGCATGAGAGACCTAGGGGTAAGGAGAGTCAGGCTGCTTATGAGGCACCCTGAGGTCAGATGGGCTTGGGGGTGAAGGGGAGATACTCAGACCACCCCTGGCAGATCCCCAGAGGCTGGGTAGTACTGAGGGGTTCACTTAGGAGCCTGGGGTTGGGTAAAGGTCAGATGTTAGCGCTGTAATTGCCAGGCAGATCGGGAGGGATGAGACAAGTTTGAGGTCGAGCAGGTGTCTAGCAGGTTGTGGATTTGTAATCCCATGCCGGGGTGCAGGAGTGTGGCAGCAGTGACCACGGCAGCGCTCTCGGAGGTGCCGACTGGTGGTATGAAAGAGGAGAAGCACAAGGTAAAAGAGGAGTGTAGTACTGGAAGCAGAATCCTTATTCCTGAAATTGTCTTTTTAGTCCAGGACAGGTGCCTGGCTGACTGCAGCTAGCTGGGGGAATTGTGCGTGGTTCCCTCTTGCCAGATCTCCTGTGTCTTCTGTTCAGCTTGCAGCTGCTGCAGAGACAGAGAGGAGGCTTTTTTCCTCCTGTGTAGGGAAAGCTTGTTTCTTCCTAGGAGCATCACTAGTACGTGCTGGGGAGAGGATTCCCCAAACAGACAGGCAGGGATGGCATCTTGGGATGTTGAATGGAGAGCTATAAATCAGCAAGCTGCTAATTAAGACCACAGGAGGCTGGTGAGTTACTAAAGACCTGTATTACTCTTTTCAGAGCTCTGGGCCATTAACAAGATCCCTGGCACCTACTCGGAGCAAGTGGCTCTCTCCAGGGACATACCTTGTGAGCACTCTATTTTGGGCATGTTTTCAGAGGTGAAGTTCCCTGTGCCCTGGGGCCATGTGGCAGCCAAGGCCTGGGGATCTGCAGAGGGACACCCTGTGCTGTGCTTGCATGGCTGGCTGGACAATGCCAACACCTTTGACAAGCTCATTCCACTGCTCCCCAGAGGTAGGTCTGGCTCAGCAGGATGGTTTTTATTGTGTTGCAGGGCTGCATATCTGATACATTCTCCCTTTCAGATTGCTATTATGTGGCAATGGACTTTTCTGGCCACGGCTTGTCATCCCACCGACCTGCAGGCTGTCCCTACCATTTTCTGGATTACGTGAGTGATGTGCGCCGGGTGGCAGCAGGTGGGCAGCTGAAGGGCTCCTTGAGAGGCTGTTTGTGCAGAGGGTGCTACATTGCTCCTTAAGTCAAGCAAGCAGCATTTGCTGCCAGGAGAGGGGTTGGTTGGTTCCCTCTGCTTCTCCCCAGCCTCATATAAGCCTGTGCTTTGTGACCACAGGCTGAATAAGCAGTCCCTTTCTCACTATTTTGTGAGAGGAAGAAACAGTAAGAAGCAAGTGTTTCTATACTAAAAAGCAGTAATAGCAAAGTGGTGAATGCAACTAAATAGTTTTGCCAGACTTGCTTTTTGTAATCAGTCAGTGACCTCTAACCAGTGTTAGGTGTAAGCTGGAGACTCTTCTGGTTCTCCCTGACGGCAGCTGGCTGCTTGCTTTAGTATCATACAAAGAAATCTGTCAGCCAAAGTGTACTGGGCTCCTAATAACTCCTGATTTAACTGTCCACCTCTATGCTGATCTTGTGGGAGGTTGTGGCATGTGCAGTTTTGCATCCCTCTTTCAGTATACAAAGAGCCTCTGGAAATTCTTCAATGATGCCAGAGGGTAAGATATCTTTCACTGAGGTGCATTTCAGATGATGCAGCACTGATGAAGCAGTATTTTCCCATAAGCCCCTTGGGGTTCTCTAAAAATGGACTGGAGCCTGGTGTGCTAAATGATGCAGAGAGCTTTCACTTGGGATAATCATACTTCCCTCAAGACAGCAGATCTGGCTCTGTGTCCTCATGGCTTTTGTGGAATGCCCTGCAGCAGGATGCTCTGTCAAGGTCTCTTTGGCAGATGCTGCCAGTTAGATTCCTTTCCTTCCTGCCAGTCCTGTGTCTGGCAATGAATCGGAATTTGCTGTAGTCTGTTTGCCATATAGAGAGAGATTGAGACCTGCGTGACTTAACTACTAAGGAAATGAGGTGGTGGAAACTCTCTTTCTTTAAAACTGGCCTACTTATCCACCTCATTTCTGGATTAGGAAGCAAATTAAGCAGTGAAAAAGCCCTCCTGTGAGAAGGGGCCTATGTTGGTGGAGAAGCTTCAAGATGCTGCTGCTTTAGTTTCTAATGCAGCTCTGTCTGTTTTTGTCTGTTGCCACTTAGCCTTGCAGTGGAGACGGTTCACCCTGATGGGTCACAGTATGGGTAAGTGGCTCTTGTCCTTGTAAGCTGTGAGATTCGTGGAAATAGGAGTAGGTAATTAACTTACAAGACATACTGCTAGGAGCTGGGTTGGAATATTTATTGTGTCAAATACCAGGTTGCTGCTTGAGGATTCAGAAATCTGTGTCCTTGTTTGAAATGCCTCTGCTTTCAGGACCCTGTAGTACAAACAGTGGTCAGTCTTGCTGTGGGCTTATCTCCTGCCCCAGGAGGGAACAGCAGTGTGCAAAGAGGGGTGATCCGTAGCAGGAGAATTCACAGCAGGCCTTCCTGCCTGGTTCCCCCAAGGCCACAAAGCCTGAGGAGAGCAGGGCCCTTCTTGGTGGTTCATGGAGCTTGCTGAAGGGAACCAGACTCCAGGCTCTACCCCTTTATGCTTGGGTTTTGCCACAATTTGGGTTTTGCTCCACAGGGCTGTGCTGGCTGCAGCTCACAGAGCTTGCACACCATAGTGTGTAACTAGTAACTGCTTCTTGGCCTTTGCTGCCTGAGAGGAAGATGGGTATGGCACAGGACAAGAGTCCAGTTGGCCAATAGCCCTGCTCTTTGCCTGCTACTCTAGCTGGGGCTTTGTTCATTGGTACTACATGCATTCTGCTTCTAAGGCAGCTTCTGCTGTGCGTGAAGGGAGTTTCTGTTACCAGGGGTCGGGTGTGTGTGTGTGTGTCCTGGGTGTAACAGAGGACTTTTCTCTCCTTTGCAGGTGGAGCTGTGGCAGGAATGGTGAGTAAAGCATCCTTTCTTCATGGGATTTGTGATTTCTGCAGCTGGAACAACAAATAGGAGGGAATTGAAGGGACGAACTATGTGGGACTTGGATTACAGGGGAGGAGAGGCCCTTCCCTGACTCTCTCTCCAGTGTAGCAGGAAGAAGACGTCCCTCAACACTCAGCTTTTCCCTCATATTGTTTCATGTCTCCTCAGTTCTGTTTCCTTTATCCTGAGATGGTGGACAAGCTGATCCTGCTGGAAAACCTTGGCTTTCTGCTAGCACCAGAGGTTAGATTTCACATGTACTTCCCCTCACTTTTTAAAATAAAAAATAGATGTTTGGATTTTTTTTTCTTTCTTTCATTTGCTCAGAGAAAGCACTGATGTGACCAGTTCCTGACAGATCACACAAGTCTTGGTGCTCTTCCTTTTGGCAGGCACAGATCTGCTTCTTGTTGCATAGACTGAGGTCCCTGTGGAGGGTGGCCCTTGGGGGACACTTGGTAGTGCTCCACATCCTACAGTCCCTTAGCACTGAAATTCATTTGTCTGTGCCATACCCTTGTACAAAGGGAGCTGGAACCTCTGTCCAAGCAACTGCCAGCTGGCCTTTTGCCAACAGCTTGTTGGTGATCTGGGTAGATCTCTTTTACTGTTCCTGGCAGGATGTAAAGCTACATTCCCAACCTGACCTCATCGCTACCAGATGCTGGGCTTTGGTTGGCAGAAGTGGGACAGAGGCCCAGGATCAAAGAGACAAAAGATAACAGATTTCCCTTGTTCTTTTAGACAGTTGTCCTCAGCTCGAAAGTGAGGCAGGAAGGGGTAGAAAAGATTGCAAGGGTAAAAAGTTAGTTCTTCACAGCAGTGCTTAGCTTTCTGTTCCTGCCTTGCCTTTTAAGTATTGCTGTTCCCTTTCCCCCAGAAACGGACATTTTTAATGTCCGTAACTGGTAGGAATTCTGAGGGATGTTGAAGGGTGAAATTCCCGTTTCTACCCTTTGATAAGGGGTAAAATGATTCAGAAATGGGGGGTTATTTCTGTGCCCTATGTCTCTTTGTTTCAGGACACTGAGGCGTGGCTAGAATCAAAGCGATTGGTGATTGACAGATTACTGAGTCTAGAGGCAAAGCAGCAAACTCCCAGAGCACGGAGCCCTGAAGCAGCATTGCAGAGGTCGGTTCCCATTTGTCCTCTTCATTTGCTGCCTGCCCTCACCTTGGACAGAGTTACAGCTGCGTGAATGTGAAAGGGAAACTGCTTCTGCACTTCCTCTTTCAAGTCCTCCTGGAATCTCACCAAGACCTTTTGCTTCTGCCGCTTCTTCTGCTCTTTTCTGAAGCAGCCTGAGAGCTCGCTGTCACCTTGTCATGCCATTTTCGCTTCGCTTCCTCCCTTTCCCAGCAGCACATGTCTCTCCCTCAGGCTCTTAGAAGCGAACAGACATCTGACAGCAGAGGGTGGGGCAATCCTACTGCAGCGAGGAGCAACTGAGACACCCGCTGGTAAGGGGCTGCGTGGAGGCAGGGCTCATCCCAGTGCTGGGCCAGACCTGGGTGTGGGATGGGAGCAGTGCCAACAGCCATTGTCTTCCACAGGGTACAGGGTGCCCTAACTACAATTCCATGCAGCCTGAATGGGAGCAATTAAGTCTGGAGGCAGAGCTCTCCATTCCCAGCAGCTGGGTTTGGTGCTTGAGTCCTGGAACACCAAAAGAAAAGAAATTAAGAAAGGAGAAATCTGAATTAATCCTCTTGTCTCAAAGAATCTTGGGCAGACCCCAAAGGGGAGGAGAAACAGAGCAGCTCCTGCTCCTGTGAGACATGAAAACCTTCTGTTGTTTTTTCATTCCAGGGCTGGTTTTTAACAGAGACATGAGAGTCCGTACGGTGAGCATTGCTCTTCTGATGTGCCCCCTGCTGCTTCTGAGTTCTGAGCTTATAGAAAACTCAGCTGTAGTGGAGGTCCACTCCCTGCTTCCACTCAGCTGGTGACTTTCTGCATCTCTAATTCCTGCCTCTCTTTTAAATGCTGCTGTTAAAAGAGCCTCAAACATTGACTCAGCTTACAGAGTCACTGGAAAATGTTACTGACTTTTTTTTTCCTAGCAGTTCCTCTGCCCCAGGGCCTCATGGCCACATTTTCCTGCCGTTATAACTCTTCAGGCAGCAGCTGGATGGATGCTTTCTGTCAGCTTGTCAGGTCACCCATGGAAGAGGGGAGAGTGTGGAGCAAAGTCGGCATGTTTGATGTTTTGATAGCTTTGTGCCGCTTTTGAGCAAGCAGGGCCTCCTCTACCTGTGCCATTGCCAGGGTATGAAAGCCAGAGTAGTGTACTGTCTCCTTTTTAGTAAAGGGATTTTTAAAGCTTTTCTCTGGTATGAGATCATTCCCATATGTGCTGCATCCCAGCAGGCAGTGTTGCTGGCAGCCCTGAAATGCAGCTGGACAGAAGGAACCTTTGCAGAGCCAGCTACTCTTGTGCACGGCCTAGCTGCCTGTCATGTCCCAGCATGGAAGCTTTGGGGCCATAGCCACTTCTGCCTTGAGGGCCACTAGTGCAGCAGGGGTCAGGCACACTCCCTGTTCCCAGCTGCTGTCCCTGACCTTTGCTGCTCTCCCTGTGTTTGCACCTGCAGCAGAGTCGAGAGTCCTTCACAGTGGAGCAGTGTGTAAAGCTCCTGCAGAAGATCCAGGACCGTGTGCTCATCATTGTGTGAGTGAGGCACAAGCCAAACCAACCCTTGCTGCCTCCCTGCAGCCCTGGGTGGAGGGAGTAAAGGTTAGAAAGGAGCCCTCAGGTAACCCCTCCTCTGCAGCAGCCACCCAGACCTTTGGGCCAGTTGGCACAACAGCACAGCCTCACATGTGAAGCATTTCAGAGTTCCTTACCACTGCCCCAGGCTGGGCAGGCTCCTGGAGCAGGCAGAGAGCAGCTAGAACATCTTCCTTCTGGCCTAGGCTGTGCTTTCAGGCTGGGTCTCCCTGGTGCAAGGCTGACTGAGGAAATGCCACTCCTGTCATGTCCTCCTGCCTTCACGCTCCCAATCCCATAACTTTCCATCCCTTGGCCCTACAGGAAGGGGCTATCCTGGCAAACCTGTGACACTCCACACTGTTCCTACTTGCTTTCCTCCTGGCCCACCCAGCTCTTCCCCAGGTCACAGCACCCCAGCCTGCCCCCTTCTCCAGACCCAGAAACCTCTTGCCCAAGCAAACAGGTAAAATCAGTCAGCTTCTACCTCCTCCAGCTGGTCCTAGAGCCCCTGGCCAGACCCAGCTCCTGCAAGCTTTCCTCTTGGGTGTCCAGGGCTGGGAGAAAAGCTGTAGGAAGGTAGCCACTGGTTTGCACAGAACCCCACAGCCTTGGTCTGTGTTGTGCCATTAAAAGACTCTTCTCTAGGAAATAAGAGGGAGTGCTAGAAGTTGGGAAATGAAGAGCAGTTTTGGCATCCCTGGTCTGCTGAAATCATAAACTCTTAAGGATATTCCAGCTTATCCAGAAATACAACATCATAGTGAGGACAAGTCCTCTAGGCCATAAAGAGTACATGCCTTTGTGCCTGGGATGTCATCTTGTCCCATCACCTCCAGTGGAGGAGGAGATAGTATGATCGTAACTCTGCAGGAGGTCTAATGCTGGCTTTTCCAGGAGGACTGCCCTGGTACTTCCCTCTCCAAGTGGGGCACACCCAGTTTAAAACAGTAGTGTGGAGGTGAGAAAGGGACAGAGGTGAGATGTAGAGGCTGTATGGAGGGGAAAAGGCAGAAGACATGGTGGGGGTAAGGAATGACGTATTACGAGACAGCACTTGGAGGGGAGCAATATCTAACCAGTCTCCACTCTGATACCACCAGGCAATCACCTAAGGTTTTGAACAGATAGTTTGACAGAAAATAGCTGCCCCTCCGACTGCCATGTATGACCCTCTATCCCTATTTTTTAAAAGCAGCTTAGAAAGAGCAGTTGTCTCTGTCACCTCCCTGTCCTGGGGACAAAAGCTTCTGCCCAAGACAGTAGCAAAGACAAATGGAGACACACTATGTGCTGTACTGAGCCTTGCTGTGGCTTTTCAGAGCACAAGATGGACTCTTGGTACCGTACAAGCTGGACACCAGAAATCACTTTGTGAAAGACCTACGGAAGGCATTTGAGTCTACCCTGAAAGAGGTGGGAGCAAACTTCATCCTTGCATCTCTACTGTATAGGTCCCCAACCTGGGAGCAGCAGCTCACCTTGATGGCCAGCCCCAGTGGGCACCCCCCACTAGGTAATTTGTCCCAAATAGCACAGCCCTCACACTGTGGGGAAGCCAACTTGACCTTTGCTGCCGGAGTCCCAAGTTATTACTGCACTCTAGACCCAGCTTTTCCCTAGTCCAGTCATCCCAGCCCTGTTCTGCCTTCCTCCTGCCCCACAGCTTGTATGAGGGAATGCTTTTCTGGTTCACATCTTGCATCCTTTCTTTCCAGCACATTCAGCTAATAGAGGTACCTGGGAGTCATTTTGTGCACCTGAACAAGCCTGAGGTGGTGTCTGGGATCATCAGCAACTTCCTGACAGCGCAGAACACCAGAGCCAGGCTCTAGGAAGCCCTCACTGCTGCAGCAGGCAAGGAGAACGTGGAGCTAAAAAGCAGGCTCTGGAGGAATTGTCACCATTCTTACCTCACATCCAGCATCAGTTTCATGATACTCTTTCCTAACCTTGGCTCACTGCAGAGTGGAAGCAGGTCTGCCAGGGGCTCCCTGAAGGAAAGCTGAGCAAAGTACCTCAGTTTATCAAAGGCAAAATGAATCCTTCCAGCTCTGAAAGTACAGGAACAGAGGCTCAGAGTGGCCTTTCCCTTGCTTCCTCCCAGCTTGCACCCTGAAATAAAACAAGAATACAGGCAGAGGCATCTTCTGTAGGAGCAGCAGCACCAGCTGTAGCTCAGCAGGAGATGGGTGCCTCATCTTACTTCCTCCCTTAGGATGGTACAACCAGTCTTATCCTAGAATTAGAGCTACTGGGAAAACAGGAAAGTATTCTGCTTTTCTGCTTACTTCTGTGGATGCCTTAGCTCAAAGGACCTTCATGTCTCCCTTTTACTGTGAGACTTGTCAATTTTAAAAAACAGCTTAAATAAGAGCTCACCTGAGCACAGAAGGCCATTTTAATGAACTCCTAGGGAATGAGTCACTAATCCTTTATCTGAAGCAGCAGGGAGAATTACCAATAATGGAAAAGTTGGCAGAGATTATTTCTGTCCTTCTAAATAAAGATTAATTTCCTAATGTTAACCCTGTCTTCTTGACTCTAGAGGAGAATCCTTTCTTCTGGGATGTTTGCCCAAGCAGCTAAAACACTGATCTCGGAAGCAGTGATTTTTACATGCAGTCTGCTTTAGTTGAGGCACAATTGGGATCCATCTGCCTTCTAGTTAAATTGATGCAAAAAGCCAACTGAAGCAAGCAGGCCTGGCAGTCTCCCCATGTAATGGAAACTGCATTGGCAGTGGGTTTTCCAGGGGAGGGTAAATGCATTTTAACCCACCTCAGTGGAAATTCCCAGTATTTCCACCTTACATTCATGGCTACACCCATATGGAGGCTGCAGGGCAATAACGGGCCCTTTCTGATCAAAGTGCACAGGGGTAGGCCATCATTTAAGTCCAAAGCTGCACAAAGGCTCTGCGGGCAGTGCAAAAGCACTGCCCCACGGCTAGATGTGCCTGTTGACATCCTTACCTCCCTCCTGTTGGCTGATGACAGGTTAAGAGAAAACAGGCCATGAAGAGTCTGATTGCCCCCTCCAAAGGCAGGCTGCCAGCTCACCTTGTTCTAGTGACAGTGCTGAACACCAGGAGCTCCCAGAGCCCAGGCTAGACAGGGCTGTAGGGGTCCACTCACAGCCATAAGACTGAGCACCTCAGCACCTGGCTGCAAGGAAAACACTGAGGGAAGGGGGAGGACTCTGTACCAAACCACCTTCCTTGTGACGACAGGTCTGGGAACTTCCCAGATGGGCTTTTCCAAAGGTCACTTCCCTTCATTTCTAACTCGCCCCCAGATAAAATGTGCAAAGGAGCATACAAGCCATGACTTTTATTGCCACCCCAGCATACCAGAAGCTCCAGGTCTCCCCACGCAGACCAAAGGGGAGAGAGGCATCCCCACATTCTGAGAACATAGCAGCAGTTTATTTACAGTTCTTCAGCCATTCTTGCCCCTAAAGAGGCTGTGCTGGGTCAATCCCACCTCTCACCAAGCTAGAAGAGGGCCTTGGGCAGCAGGGAAATACAAGTTGTCACAGGAAAGGCCTCAGCCCCTTGGCCTGAGCACCCTGGGAAGTGATGCCACAGGGCCAAATGATGGCCAGGAGAGCAGAATTCCATTGCAAGAAACTTCTCCTTCAGTGACAGTTGCTGGGATCTCCCATTTCAGATCTAAGGGCAGGGACAATCTGAAGATGCCTCAGTTCCTTGAAATCCTTTGGGATACGGAGTCCATAGGAACCTCTCCAGCCTGGGCACCCAAGGAATAGCTCAGCACAGCTTAGTATGGCCGAAACTTGCGCTGGGCTCGCATCAACGCGATCCTCTGCTTGTCCTCCTCAAATTTCTTCCTCAACTGGGCAATGTCTAAATGAGACAGAAAAAGAACAGGTCACATGGGAGCAGCAGATCTCCCTCCCCAGGGAGCTTCACTTCCACACGCCAGGCAGGGCTCAGTCCTGACACACACTTCCCAGAGCAGGTACTTCTGCGCCTAGGCCAAGTGCCAAGCTGGAAATCCGGAGCTCCTCTCTGGCAGTGCTGTAGCTCCCTCTTGGGGAAGAAAATGCCTAGTGCTCCCTCTGAATTGCTGCTTTTGTGCAGGCTGAAGAGACATCTATTGGAAAGCCAGGATCTGTGCACTCTCCCACGAAATATTGCAGCAGCCCTTTCTAGAAGGGATGGTGGCAAGAGGCCCCAAGAGCTGGCGAGGCTATCTGCACAACCACCCAGCACTGTTCACCTGCAGCTGGATACAAGTGACGGACTCTCCACTGACAGACAAATGACCATGATGCAAGGGACAAGAGCCACAGGGAGGGGGCAGAGGAGGCTCGGACACTCACGTTCTCTCTTGGTCTCACGATGCTGCCAGGCATAGAAGTTGAGCAGCTCTTTGCGGGCCCTTTTCTGTTTCTCCCTCTCCAGCAGGCGCAGGTTGGCCGCCTCTGTCCGGGGCAGACCAGGCTTCCGGCCCCGCCGTGTTACCTTCACCCAGCCCTCCTCATCCGGAACACCCTCCTCCTTGGCTGCTTTGGCTTCTTCCTGTAAAGACAGGAGGGTGGGACAGCTTAGTGCAGATGTACTGACAGCCAGCCTGACGCATGGCTCCCCAACAAAGCTACAGCTCCTGCTTCTGCACAAGATTTGAATGCAGGCATGGAACCAAGAGCAGGCATTCAACTATCAGTCAGAACACTGTACACAAGCCAGGACCCAGTTTATTTGTGGATATGTATTGTAAGACCTGGATGGAAAGGTCAGGTGTTGTGGACCAAACCAGGACCTAACTGCCCACCAGCAACTGGGAGTAAAAAAACCCTGCCGACCAGCATGTTTCCCACCACCCTTTTCACTGAGACCAGGCCACTGAGAGATCTTTCCTCTTCCTTTCCTCTCCCCAAATAAACTGCTTAGCTGGGTCTCCTCCCCAGCCTGGCCTCACCTCTTCTATCTTTTTGTCATAGTCTTGCATGTAGGCATCCACCTCAGCCTTCAGCTCCTCCTGATCCACAATTGAAGCTGCATAGCTGGCGATCCACTCTGAGGAAGAGGGCAGAAGTCAGCTATAGCCTCTGCTAGAATCAAGCCCTGGTCTGATGCCTTTGGGCAGCTCTAGAGAGAATTGCTGTGGAGAAGGAGACGCTCTTCCCATTCTGTTCAGCCTCCCCACACCACAGCTCAACCAACTTGTGGCCCAGGCCACAACCAGAAAGTGATAGGAAGAGCTTGCAACCTTCCTGAGCAGGAGCAGGCTAGCATTAAGTCCAAGAGGTGCAACACTGAGGGCTGCATTCCTGTCAAGTGATCACACCTGAACTGCTGTCACCCTGACACACATCAGGGTGTCAGCACTCAATAACAGGTGCCCATTATTGAGTCAGATTCTGTTTTGAGTGTAAGACACGGAGAGTTTGTATGGATTTATGCAGTATTGAAAAGATGTTGGAAAAAACTGCCCTTCCGTTATACCAAGCAACTCCCTTCTGGTCACAGGACCAGGCTACAACATCCTATACGAGACTGTGAATAATAAAAGCAGGGCAGTGAATCACTCGACACCTTCCAGTTCACTACAAAATGGTGAGAATTAATCTGGGACATGCAGGGTAGGATTCAGGAAGGAATAAGCATAGTTCTTCCCCAGCACTAGCTAGCAGGAAGATAGCCAGGGCTGACTTACTCCTAATGCCGGTTTTCACAGGGTGACTCTCTGCTGAGATCAGCAAGGGACCTTCCTTCGACAGAGCCTTGGCTGCCTGGACGCCAGCTGGTTTCTTGAACACCACATACGCCACTCGAAATCCCTGAAAGCAGAAGATATCTATGCCAGTCAAGATACACCACAGAAACTGGTGACGCTGCAAAGAGCTGCACTACAAACATAATAAAAATCAAACCTCGAGTTGCAGCGGGACAGCAAAAAGAGATAACGCAAACTTCAATAAGTAATCACATCACCCAGCGCCCCCAAATGGTTTCCCGTCTCACGTTTCAAATCGTACCCTCCAGTGCTTGTGATCTTTCCCCATTCTAACCATCAGGATTCCCCTCCCCACCGAGCTTTACCGTTACAGTTTTGCAGTTGAAGAACCTGGAGTTCAGTTTCTCTTTTTTCTCCCCGGGCCCTGGCTTGTCACACATGTCCACAGACTGGACATGCCCGCAGCGGTTGAACAGCCTGGACAGAGAGCCCTTGATAAGGAGAACGAGAGAAAAGAAGCGCTACAGAAAAGCAGAGGCAATTTCTCTCCCCACTCCCTCAAGGCTGCTCGGCATGGCCCGAGCCCCTCAGCCCACCGCCACCCCGACGCACCCCGGGCTCATGAGGCGATGCCCGCAGCCTTCAGTCCCCCCCCACCGGTAAGGCGCCCCCCGCCCCTCCCGAGGCCAGCCCCACTCACCGGGGTGCAGTACGGGGGCACGTTGAGGACGAAGAGGGTGCGATGAGGGGGGTGCGTGGTGCCGGCGCCTTCCCGCAGCTGGTGCTCCTTCACCAACAAATAGTGGGGAGAGCGCTGCCGCTCCCCGAACTTCACCGCCAGAGCTGCGAGCCACGCACCGGTTAAAGACCCCGCTGCCGCCCGGACCCCGCTCCCGCTCCCTCCCTGCTACCCCGGGCCCTCTCACCCGTGTAGCCTGCCGGCGCCTCTCCCACCACACGTTCCACGGCGGCCGCCATCTTAGCTCGGCGGGAAGCGGCGTGGCGCGGGGGCCGCCGGGAGTTGTAGTTCCCCGCGCCGGCGCGGGGCTGCTAATGGCTGCGGAGGGACCCGACCTCGGCGCCGAGGTGGAGTTCAACCAGCAAGTTTCCCCATCCAGAGCATCACCCTCTGCAAGAAAAGCTTGTTACACCCAGCATTTACTGTAACGGTTCTGAAAACGAGGACCTGAACTGCATAAAACAGGCACTGCGCTTAATCATACAGAGGCAAATAAAGGAAACTTAAACACACATAAAAACATTCAAAGATAATTGTAAAAACAACTGTTTTTAAAGACTTGTTAATCAGAAAAAAAGATTAAAAAATTACATTTACAGAGAAACTTGTATTTATGACTGAATGGAAGACAAGACCACTCCAAAAATAAAGATACTGAAGGAAGACAATGTACAATAAAGCAAGCAATTATTCGGACAGTTGGCTCAACCAAATAGCTAAGTTAATGAGAATTATCAGTAAAAACAGTACATGCAAAACCCATGAAAATATACCAAACTTGCAAATTGTGGCATCACTTCACAAGTCATCATGTTTTTGAAAAGGAAAACAGAAAGAAATTCTATTGTCAATTACCTACCACACGTCCTGGCCAAGCATACCAAATTAGTGCCAGCAATCAGTGTTTCGTCTATGAGCTTGTAATCTCCAAGAGGCCAGAAAGGAAGTGAACAAAAATATATCAAGGGGAGATTTAGATTAGACATTAAGAAAAAATTATTTACCATGAGGGTGCTGAGCCGCTGGCACAGGTTGCCCAGAGAAGCTGTGGCTGCCCCATCCCTGGCAGTGCTCAAGGCCAGGCTGGACAGGGCTTGGAGCAACCTGCTCTAGTGGAAGGTGTCCCTGCCCATGGCAGGAGGTTGGAACTGGATGAGCTTTGAGGTCCCTTCCAACCCATACTGTTGGGTTTGATTCTATAATAACCATGCTGCATGAGGGCAAATGTGCCCAGAGGCGAGGTCAGAAGGTGGTAGGTGAGCTCAGTGGAATGCAGCCAGCCAGGAGAAACTGCGGAGCTGCGAGGTCAGCTCCTTGAAGTAGGAATGGCTGGCTACTCTTTATTTCAATGCCTAGCAAAAGAAGGCACACCATGAAGAATTAGAAAACTAAGATAACTTTAGAGAGGACTCGGAACAGAACAGCAATGCACACCAAGACATTGCTGCAAGACAAATTGTGGAGTACTGTTTAAACAATCACTTTGTTCACCAATTATAAAATAAAAACACTCCCATAAGTCACAGAGTTAGAGAACAGAGCAGTTCTTCAAAAGGAGTATGTTAATGTAATAATTTCTGACAGATAATCCAACACAATGCATCATTTTAACAGCAAGTTAGAGAGGAGATCTTGCTATTTGACTTTTGAAATTGATTATGAATCTATTAATAAAGAAAAAAAACAACCTTGAATGCCTCTTTCAGAACAGACAAGGTATAGAATCATAGAAAGGTTTGGGTTGGAAGGGACCTCAAAGACCATCTAGTTCCAACCCCTTGCCATGGGCAGGGACAACTTCTACTACACCAGGTTGCTTAAAGCCCCATCCAACCTGACCTTTTTCTTCTAATCAAGTGGCCCTTTGCACTGAGGAAGTCAGTTAATCCCTCCCTTGAGGTGAGGTCTGCAGTCACAATATGTATCTCCACACCTTTTTATCCAGCCAATAAGGAAAGTACCCTATTTCATTTAGAACAGGTACCCTGGATTTCACAGCTGTATTGTTTTTTACTAAAATAATTTTCTAAATTACTAGGCTGTCAATAACAAAGGCCATTTTCTTTTCTGTGATAACAGAATTTAAACTAGGTGGGGACACAAATTTCTCCCACTTAGCAAGAATCAGGAACTAATTTCAATAATCCAGATTAAAAAGCATATAAGGATCAATTCTCTCATCCATATACTCCTCTTGCTCTTCATTACATTATCAGTTTTAAAGTTTCTATATTGATATAAAAGCACACTTGATTGGAACTCCACCTATTTTCAGTTGCTTCACAGCATCTAAAAAGGCTTAGAATCCACTCTCTGTATAACAAACGTTTATTCAGAAACAGGTAACACATTATTTTCTCCAACCCCTAATGTTTCCTCCCCCTCCCCCCATTTTATTTGAATTTTCTTAATTAAAACACAAGTGTTTGATGGGCAACCTAAAAAAAGGAGAACCATGGCTGTCTGAGGTCCCCTCCCCTACAAACATCTGTTGTTCACATGAAGCACCACAGCAATAATGGTGTTGGTGGCTTCCAAACCAAAGAGAGTACTCTTTGGGGAAAAAAAAAGACAAGTTCTGCCAAGTCCTCAGTTATTTCAATGGTTAAAAGCGATACAGTGAGATAGAGGAATCATTTGCATGAGCTAGATAAGGGCAAAGAGTTAATACAGAACTAGAAAGCAAAAGAAACATATGATTGATTGCAAGAAATTAAATCCGGACCTACAATGGTTACAGAGGTCACTGAAATTCAGCAGAGCTGAACAGAATGGATTAGATTAATCTCCCAGCTAGAAGGATCAAGTTCAAACCCCAACTACATTCTGGAAGTGGCTCTCAGCATTCCTCTCTTACAATACAATTTGAACAAATACAAACGAATGGAGCTACTGGGACTTCAAACATCCACGGCAATTACTCTGTAATAACAAAGGGAAGTGTTGGAAGTGCCACCTAGTGGCCTGCGGCTCCCCACAGATGACACTGGCCCAGGGTACACCCTTGCTGCTCTGCATGGGACTTGCTTAAGGCTCCTCTCCCTTGTGTTTCTTAAGAGTGCTACCTGCTTTTCTCTTCAAAAACGCTCTCTGAAGTCAGGAAGTGCTGCAAACATCCTCCAAATTCAGGCATGTGAGCCCACATAGCTGCCAAACATTGCTCAAATGACATCTCCCAAAGCGAGTTCTCGGGTGCAAGAAAAGACTGCTTCCTACATTTTAGCATCTGAAAATGGCCCCAGCTCCTTTTTTATAGGAGATTGGGTAAGTTAGAAAGCAAGGGAAGGGGGGGAAAAAAAAAAAAAAAAAAGAAAAATCACATCCCTGCATCAGCAGGAAGATGTAATAGAGTCTAATGGGAATGAAACACTTGGATTTCTTCTAGCTCTGAACACAGGATTGATTCTTCTTTTTCAGTCCGGAAAAGAGTAACTGACCCTGACCCTACAGGACTAATATGTTCATTGTACAAATGCCAGAGCCTTTCCCCACTCCTCCACCTTGCTGTAGAGTTAAGCCCCGCCTCCAGTAGGGGCAACAGGTAGAGAGCACTTGTGCATATATCCTTTCTGCCTTATGCCTCTGTTGGCTGCTATACACAGCAGGAGGCTCAGTTTTTCACACTTCGCAGTTACAGCTGCTGAGCAGAAAAATGTCCAACAGTCAGAATGAAGTAGTATGTCACCAAATGCAAGTCAAAGATGCAAAACAGTGCTTCCTGTAGAGCCACACCTGACTTTGTACCCAGTGCAGCAATTTCAGACATAATGTGGTACTCTTGCTTGTTGATAACCGAGGGGAAGCACCTTCTAGTTAAAGGTCAGTCAGAAGAAAAGAGAAGGAGATCACCACTCCTTCCCTTAAAGTCTGTGTGCACTTTTAATGGCCACTAGGGGCTTTGGAGTAAAGGATGGAGTTACATGGTATATGCTTGGTAATACATTATTGGCAGAAAGGGGAGGTTATTTTTTGGGGAAAAAAAAAAAATCATGGAAGAAAACTCCAACTATGAAAACAGAAAGCACACACACAAGAGGGAACACTATTGTACAGTAAGGTAGTGATCATAGAAAACAAAAAATTTCAAGGCAGGCAAATGCAAGTAACATCTGCACTCCTGCACTTTTCTTTCCCCAACTTAAATGGGTTTCCAGTCCACTTCTTGCTCCCCCTTCTCAGAGTTTGATTTTGAATTCTGTGGGCTGCACAGAGGCAGAGACCCCTGAAGATTTGAAGAGTGCCTTCAAGATCGTGTCAGGGTCCACTTCAGCTGGGGGATTTGAGGAGGCGCTTGCACTTGACCGGCGTGGTTCCCCTTCCTTCTTTACTGAAGGGGTATCACTCAATCGGCTGGAGGATAAAAACAAAAAAACAATAATTAAAAAACCCCAAAACAATATCCAATATCAGAGATAAAGGTTTTAAAGGGCTGGGAACACTATGGAGTCAAGCTGTATTTCCCTTAGCTCTAACACAGAGTAGCACAGAGAGGAGAAGGAAAATATTAATGCGACGATAACTTGCCAATGGTTTTCCTCCCCTCAGGTTCCTCTTAAAACAGAGCCTGTAAATGCATTTGGTTCTTCCCCCACCCACAGGACACTTACAGAAGTATAGGCTGGTCTGAGGTGATCACATTCCCATTCATATGAAGATTGCATTTCATTGGTTGACCTAAACAAAAAATATAATCAAAACCAGTCATTTTATCAGAATTGTGGTAAGGCAATATCACACAATATCACAGTCAGAAATATCACACAACAGGGAAAGCAAGAGTTTCACATGCTGGGAAAATGTGAGAAAGAAAAGCTAATACATCTCTAATTGCAAAATCACAGTAACAGAAAAGCCACCGAAATATTCACTACAATGTGAACAATCACACTAATTAAGAAGTCACGTATAGGTACAAACCCCTTAGTACAAGGGTTTTGTACCTAATATGTGGGAGACATAAAAGGATTTCCCATTCTCAGCTGCCTAGTCCTCATCTGATGATCACAACATATCACTCGTCTAGAGAAAGAAGCAGCACCTATTTCCAGCTAAAAATTAAAAGCTAATTTCAGTCTATATTTAGATTGGAGGTGAATCCAGATTAAAAATCCCATTGTTCAAAGTTTATGGAGAAGCCAGTACTAATTGTTTTACAATCAAATTCAATATGGTTCTGGTGACACCTTGAGACTTCTGAAAATACTAGTTTTACTTGTACTTTGCAAACAGCTATCTGTAAGCAGGTAAAGCCTTTGTAAGGACTATCTAACTCTAGGAAGTGAATTAGAAGCAAAAGGAATTTCATTTGGAAATTAGACTAGGGGAC